GCAACTATTACGATAAGATTTGCATGTAAATTTAAACATATTTTACCATAAATTAGGGTTTTAGTGATTTAAAGATTCAAAAATTTGTTCTTAATGTGCTTGTGATTCATATAACAACCTCTATATACACTCCTAAAAATGGCTCCAAAACGTCCGAGAAGTAGTTCTTTTCAACTAAAACCTTCTTCTCAACCAAGATCTTCTTAACCAAGGTCTTCTTCTCAAGTAAGGTCATATGATCAAATCAAGACATTTGATACAAACAACTTTAGAACTGATAAAGAGAAAGAAAAATTTTATCGATATTTCAAAGCAAGAAAGACTCGTCCCGAATGTGTTATTGACATGGATTTACAGATTGGGGTTGACTTAAATTTCTTGATGTAGAACAAAAATATTTCTCAAACCTTGTTCGAGTGTTCTACAATAATGTTTCATTCCACCGTGAGCCTAATAGGAACAACATCATCAGAATTAATACTCATGTAATGGGGAATGATATATATATATATATATATATCTCCGGAATCTATTGCTACAGGTATATGTTGTTGAGAATAAAGGGGATTTCGATGAAACTGATTTAGATCCTACAATTAAAAGTGTGGATAGAAATAGCCTTATTCACCTAGATGTAGAGGCTAGATTGTTTCACAAAATTGTCATTTGGTTTATTCGACCTTTCGGTGGAAAATTTTTCATAATTCGAGATATCGATTATTAGTGGTTAGCGAAGTATAGCTCAAAAACTGCTCCAAACATTACACAACTGATATTTGACACACTTGTTAATTTAGTCAAAAAGGATGAATCTATTACAACGTCACTACCACATTGATGTGTCATTACTCATCTATTGAAGAATAATGAAGTAGATTTTTTGCTTAACTACCATGTTCGCTTATCCCGAAAAATTGACATGTTATCCATGACTAAAGTCGGATACGAATTTATTGAAAATGTCGGTTGAACTAAAAAAGATGACATTGGAGCAGAACAAGAGTAAGAGTAATTGGACCCTATTGACAATGATGACCATTAACTGATAGAAGAGGCTAGGGTTGAAGAGGATATTACAATGAAGTCAGTGATGGAGTACATGGTTAATTTCTGAGAGCATTTTGATTATCGTGTGGTGCACATTAATGACCAAATCGAGGAAACGCGAGCCAACATTTCATCATTGTGTGATGAAGTTTACAACTTGCGTAACGAATTCCTTCAATGACATCATACGAGTTAGGTATTTCATTCTTTATGCTCTAAATATTTACATGTTTTAAAATATATTTGTTTTTCTTATAACAGCGATGGAGAAGACGGTGGACAATCAAGTGATGAGTGAAGAGAATGACATTACAGATGATGATGATGATGAGGATGAAGATCCAAACAAATATATGGTGTCTGCAACACCACCGGTAAGAAAACTAGTTATTTTTATATAAATGAAATCATTGCATACTTTTCAAAAAATACTAAAGTCTTTAAAATTGTTTAATTTCTATACATTATTTTAACCTATAAACGTACTATTTTAATGTAATTTTGTTCATGTTATAGATGTTATACTATGACCAGGTGTATATGAATTTCTTCATTTATGTTTAGAAAACTTTGTTGTTGTCATTTGGTCTTCGAAGTTGAGGTAAACACAGTTACGATATTGAATTACTATAGATAAATAAATAATTTACAATTGGATGTTTCTCATGGTAATTGTTAACAATTTCAGGCATAACATTGATCGTGCACTTGACAAACTACATTTATTGTCTGACCAATTTATATTCATTTGGGTAAGATGCGTGTTTTTTTTTTTTTTTGCGTTGCTTACTTTTATTTATTTATGATTCCTACAAATTTATGTTTGACTATTTATATAAACAGGATCAAGGAAAATGTAAAAAAAAAAAAGATGAAGTAACATACTATAAAGATCTCCAAGATGTTTGGAATACGTATTCTGAATATAACCCGGGAAATACAGTGTTTGTGAATGATTTAGCGTAAATAATTATTTATAATCAGTAAGTTATATGTTTGTGATATGTTCTTTATGTTAAGTTATATGTTAATACATTTGTTCATTCACAATTTATGTATTTATATAGCAATACATTTACATATGTTCACATCCCTTTAACGGTTCATCTTTGAACGACAATGCTTTAGGTATGACACAAATTTATGTCCACTTATGCGAAATTGATTTATTATTACATTATTAAACATGTTAGGTTTGCTAATTTCAATTATTTATATATGTCCTTAGGAAAAGGCAGAAACATCCGCGATTATTTGGAAATTTTGACAAATGCGCCTAATATTCCAGACTTTGTCCGAAATAACCCTTTTTCTTTGGTTTAATTCTTTGTGGGTGGACAATTAGAACATCCTTAATTTATTTATTGATGACATGATTGTTATGTATAACATTGTTCTGTAGGTTTGGTTTAGTTATATTATGTGTATATTTTTTATCCATACACATAATGCATTATTTTCAATTTTAATGTACTCAAACATATCAAATAATAATTGTATACTAAACATTTTAATATTCCTATCCACAATACAACATGTGACTTACACAGTAAAGATTCTATTCTGATGGGACACTGTAAAGAATCCACTACAAGATGTGACTTTCTCGACTTTTCTTTCATTCACGTATATGTTGTTGATTTACCTATTACTTTAAAGTAATATGTTTCGAAATTATAAGTATCAATATTTTATATATGTGTATCGATACATTTTGCGTGCAAATTATTTGAGAAGCATATTGAAATAAAAGTATCCATATCTATATAAAAGTATCGATACTTGGTATTTGCACCTATTATCAATATATCGGATTGAATCCATTTCATCCAGCTTATTAAGATAGGATAACCGAAATCGTCTAAGAGAAACATACCTGCAAGAGACTAACTATTTGCTTGTGTAAATACCAAGTATCAATACTTTTATATAGGCATTGATACTTTTATTCTAGTATGATTCTCAAACAAATTACATGTAAAATGTATCGATACACATATATAAAATATTAATACTTGGAATTTCGAAACCTATTACTTTAAAGTAATAGGTTAATTAACAATGTAAACGATAAAAGTTTACCGGTATATTGATAATAGGCGTAAATAACAAGTATCAATACTTTTTTATAGGTATGAATACTTTTATTCCAGTATGTTTTTCAAACAATTTGCATGCAAAATGTATCGATACACATATATAAAGTATCGATACTTATAATTTCAAAGTCTATTACTTTAAAGTAATAGGTAAATTAACAATGTACACGGTAAACATTTCTACCGATATAATGAAAATAGGTGTAAATGTCCAAGTATCGATACTTATAATTTCGAAACCTATTAAGTAATAGTTAAATTAACAATGTACACGGTAAACGTTTCTACCAGTATAATGAAAATAGGCGTATATGTCCAAGTAACGATACTCATATATAAAGTATCGATACTTATAATTTCGAAACCTATTATTTTAAAGTAATAGGTAAATTAACAATGTACACGATAAATGTTTCTATCGATATTATGAAAATAGGCGTAAATATACAAGTATAGATACTATCATATAAATATTGATACTTATAATTTCAAAACCTAAGTAAATTAACAATATACACGGTAATATATTGATAATATTGAAAACAAATTAAGTAATTAACATATTTTGTTTTCGCCAGATTTCTAAGGCTCCATCAGCTTTAAGCATGCAATACCTATTACATTAAATAAAGATTACTTCTTATGATTTTATGGTTGATAATGTTTCCAGTAATTAACATATTTTGTTATTGTAGAATTTATAAGGCTCCATCAGCTTAAACTTTGGTAACATTTTAGACGCTACCGAATATGTTGATAGTATTGATAACAAATTAAGTAATTAACATATTTTTTTTACCGTCTGATTTCTAAGGTCCCATTAATTTTAAAAAGGTGCTACATATTACGTTAAAAAGCACTACCTGTTATGTTAATTATGATTAATAATGTTTTCAGTAATTAACCTTTTATGTTAAAGTTACAACTTTTTTTGTACATTTTACATACAACAATGATATTGTCGGTTATTACCATTATTATTACCAACACAAATAATATTTTTGATGAAAACATGAAACATTTATTATAACGCTTTTAACCGGTTACCTATTTAACCAGTTATACTATTTTTTTTTGACCATATTTCAACCATGGCTACAGCTATGCAAAAAAGTAAACCCTACAATGGCAGCATATTCCCAGAAATGCCCTCCCAGACAATGATAGCTTGACTAATGGATCGCCTGGCTGGTAACTGGTGTGCCCTATCTGCCCGTTTGCTTTTCACTTGCAAAACTAATAATTAGCATAACCCGAACATAACCACCCTCTTTTTTTATAATATAGTGTGTTGTGTGGTCCAGTTTTAATATTCATGCTATTTTTTCAATTATAAAAAAAAAATCCATATGATCGTCGGTAAGAATAACTGTTCAGATTAGATCATATTTTAAGTTGTGACCTAAAACCCAATTCTAGAATTATATTCCTTACCCAATACCCTCTAATAATATTTTTTTATCTTAAATATAATCCAACCTTATTTTTTCACAAAATTCAACTTGATTCAATTTACCAGTAGGCGTGCATTGCGCAACTACATCAAAGTAGTACACACAAGCAAACCATTATGGTCACAGCCTTTCCAGCCAGGTTCTAATCCACTCATTGGTTGGCACGTATACAACTATGTTTCACTTACTGTCCCTTTACCTACTCTAAAAGGTTTTCTATTTGACGTGTAATTCACGGGTAGTTCTCCCCTGCTATAAGTCTTGTATTGTACGTCGTCTACATAATCTAAAAGGTTTTAAAATCGAAATATCCTCTAATCTAATGACTAATTATTCAATTTGCGTTAAATTTAAAATAGAACTTCCGATTCAATTCAAGTAAAAGAGTGAGAGAGCTTACGTTGAGGGTTCGTTGAATGAATTTCGCTCGTTTTTTGGGTCTCTGTGGCAGTTTAGATCCTTTGATGGCCATGAAATCCTCTTCCTTCTCTTTATTCGTCAAAGCGATCACGAATTTCGGCGGCCAAACGATGGGCGGAGCATCTGCCTCGCCGCTTCCTGAAGAGGAGCCTCCCTTTTTGCTGTCGTGAGCCATCTCAGAAGACGCCGCTGATTTGCTTTGGTGGTGGTTGTTATCATGGTTGTTGTGGCTGGTTCGCTGGTGGAGCTGCTGGTGATTGTTATGATTGTTACCACCCACTCTCTTATCGTGCGCACCCCTATCTGGCGAAGCGAATCCTCTTACAGCTGTTCCGTTGCTTTGGTCTCTCATAGCACTGGAGTTCTCAGAGTTTCTGGGAAAACATTAACATCAACAAATCACATACAGGAATACAAAGACAAAAAGCACCATAAAAATAAAAAAAATGAAAAAGAAAAAATAAACTACAGTAAATTTTGGAAAATAAAAAAGGATTAAATTGTAAATAAATTTATGAATATAACCTTGTAGTGATATAGAATTCTAGATCGGTTGGTGGAAGTATTGGCTTTCTTAAGGGGCGAGACTTTGGGATTGGTTTTAAACAAGGACAGTTGTAAAAAGGAAATCAAGTGAATTTATGGCCGTTGGATTAAAGGCCATTTCTTTTCCCTTTTTTGGCCTTTATGGTGAGATATGTGTTGGTATTAGAAAGTGGGACCAGATTCCCATATCTAATTTCTGATCGACGGCTTAAAGAGGGTTTGGACTTTGGAGATCAAAACAGACTATTTGCAGGTAACTGTCTATTTTTACATGGTTGATGTTTTCCAAGTTGTCCACGGATGCTCGGTTTAGGATCAGGTGTGGTAAGGTAGACGGAAAATAAAACAATTTGTCAAATGTCTGGAGCAGGACAAAGAACAATCGAGAAAACGATAATAACTAATACTAAAAGAAAAAAAATATATTACTCAAAGTTGCAAAGGAGCATCAAAGAGTAATAGCAACAATCAAATTCAAAGCAACATCCACCTTTAATCTATAATCATAAATCTTTAATTAATATACATGATGAGATATGATCCGCTAATAAAAATATTAATTGTATAAAACTTGTTAATTAAAATATAAATATAAATGATATATGAATTAAACAGACGATTTTAAAACTTTGAGCATATATATTACCTTTTTTTTAAAATAATAATTAATTTTATTTTAGCACCACTCATTTATTTACATTCATCTAAAGATTATAATTTCTTATAAAATTTATAAATTTTACATAATATAAACTAGGGTGGGCTTAAATCGAGTTAGATTTTGAACCTTGAATCTGATCTGAGTAAAACACCCATTCAACTGTTATCTGATCCGAATTTAAAGAAGTTTCACCCTAATTCTGGTCCGATTTTAAAGTTAAAACTTTTACTCAATTTGATATGATTTGACACTAATATATATAATTTTATTTTTCTTAGATAAAATAAGAAACTAAGTAAAAAAACATATTGAAAGGAATATTATAACAATGATCTCTAAATATATAAAGGTCAAGTATATTATTATTCCTTCATAAGGTCGAGTATAATTTTTCCTAAACCGGATCTAACTCAACCTTATCCTTCAGAAACATCGACCTGATCCGAAATTAAAAAAAAAAAAACTGATCTTATATGATTGAAACTTGTCAAACTTAAATCAAATGTCCATCCGTAATATAAACATATCCTAATAATAATAATCTGAATCTGAATACAGTAAACATATTTGTTTCCCAGTTATGTTTTAACTTAAAAATCTAGGGAAAGATCAAAGATTCAAGAAGAAACACAAGGAAATCTTAGCTAAAGGATCCTAGGGGATTTCCAATATTTGTATCTAGAGGAATATGGATGTTCACTAGATTAGCATGAGCAACCTGGCTTTTGTCATATCTACCAAAAATCAACAAAACTCCTAAAACACAGAAAAGGCGCCATTCTCATAAACACACCATGAGTTTTTATTTCCTAGAGGCGCCATTCTCATAAACACACCATGAATTTTTATTTCCTTCTCTCCAGAACCATACACTGGCGCCCGCCTGACCAAATTGGAGAGTGCACAAATACATATGAGCGTATTGAAAATAATTCAGCCCTGAATATGCATCAAATCATACAATGATGATGAAATGTTAGAATAGCAAATCTGAGGCTGAAATGTTAATTTTTTATACAAGAGAGAGGCACATTATATGCATTCACCAACTAGTCGACAGGCCCATCTGGAAAAAATATCCATCCAAACTTTGTCTAGGTTTTAGGAATGTGGCAACCAAGCGTTAAGCTTACCCATTTTTGGCACAAACCACTCCAATACTAGGGGAAAATAGAAGACAATTAACATATCATCCAAATCCAATTAGAAACATACACAATTTTATGTTAATGAGTATAGATTTAAGAATTTATTATTTAAATTAAGATATAAAATTTAAAAAAAAACATAAAATTAAATCATTAATAAAAAAATATCCCTAAATCCTCCTACTTATGATGCCCTAAAAAATTGAATATATTTAGATCGCGAATGACAATTAAGTAGACCGGAAATAAAAATAAATATCGATGTAATTTAATTTGAATTTTGATGTTATAAAACACATTATTCAAAATTTATATAATAATTCTTATATAATTTATTTAAAATTTCAAAAAATTATATGTAAAATAAATAATATAAGATTTATTATACAAATTTTGATTTATGTATTTTGATTAACATATTAAAAACATAGATTACATAAGAAGTATTGCTCCGTATCTATCTTTTTAATATATAACCAATAATTAAATGATCTAGTAGTAGGGATGGCAAACGGGCGGGTCGGGTGCGGATACCCCCTCCCCATCCCCATACCCATCTAATATTTTTCAATCCACCACCCGCCCACCACCCATGATGGATAAAAATTTTCAAATCCACACCCGCCCACGCGGGTACATTCTCAAATCCATCCCCACACCCACTATCCAACTAGAGTGTACCCGGCTAGACCCGCTTGACAGCAAACTTAGGTTATCATAAGCAACAAAACATAAAAAAACTAATACTTACTCATTTTGCCCTAAATTGATATCAAGTAGTCTAAGCTTTATTCCAATCCGAATTTCAGTACGTTTCGATAAGTTTTGAACACATGCAGATTAATATAAGATTTCGACATTTTAACTAGAAACTTGATATTAACATATGAAATCGAGAAATACGTAGAACCCAAACTGCCTGAAGATCGGCGCAATAATGAAAGAGAGGTTTGAAAGGAAAAAAATTATGCATAAACTTAACTTATCCCTAATATTTGGTTAAATAACAAGTTATATCTTATACAATATTAGGATTTATAAATTAGTCTCTAAAATTACACCTAAATTCATAATGTCCAAAATGTAATGGATATTTTACTAGGCGGGCGGATGTGGGGCGGGCGGATGTGAGGCGGGCGGATGCGGGGCGGGTAAGGTGTCAAACCCATTACCCGCGACGGATACCACTTTCTAAATCCACACCCGTCCACTACCCACTAAAATTACACCCATCCCCGCTCCAATTGGAGCGGGTGCGGTGCGGAATCCACGAAATTGTACCCGTTTGCCATCCCTATCTAGTAGGATGAGACACTAGATTCTTTAAGCAAAGTCAAGGGTTCGAATATTGACATTTAAGAATAGTAGTTTGGTTAGAAGGATCGCTCTCATATTAGAACTATGCAATATCCGATCAAATTATTTAATTAATAGATCAAATATCGATGATTATAGAAATATATACTAAAGTGTATATATAAAATATAATGGAAAAATAATAATTTTAAGAAAAATTTACTTCACAAATTCCTTAATTAGGAGAGATCTATTTAAAATCCATGGAATGATCCAATTTCATCGTCCTACCATTCCTATCATTCCTAGTGTTCGAATTCATTCCTATCATTCTTAGTGTTTGGATTCGAGATCTCAAAAAATAACAACGGTTCTTTTACCACTGGAGTCACTCAGTTTGTGTAGGATTGAGTTATTATGTGTAAAAAAGTAATTTTATATTGATTAAAGATTGTAGGATAAATAGAAATTAAAAATTAAGATTAAAAATTAGAAAATAGAAAATAGAAAGATTTTAACATATAAAAGGTGAAATTAACTAATTCAAATCAATAGGTTAATTTATATGAATAATACATATTCTAAAATAAATCATAAAAATAAAATTTAAAATAATTATTTAGAGAAATGGCAAAGAAAATAGTATCATTTCTCCAAATAGTTTTTGATAATATTAATGTAATTCATTTTAAAATTGGGGAAAATGTTATTTATAGAATTTCAGGCAAACAAGTTAAGTGGGACTAAGAATGCAAAAACGAAAGGAGCCTATGTTAAAATATCCGCCTCACAATTAAAATAAAAAACCTAACGCAGAAACGAGTGAATAAAAAAACATAAAAACCCAACCAATCAGAACGGAGCGTATGATACACGCGTCCGACACCCATTTAGAGAAGTGTAAAAACGTAAATTTCACACAGTACCTGATAATGCGCTGAGGTGGCGGAGCTTGAAGGGAAGCAGGCCGTTGACGGAGGTTAAACTATCCGTTCCCGTGATTATTATTGCTTGGCCGATTTGAAGAGTTCTTGTCGGCCCTCACGACACGGCGGTCGACTCGAACCGTGGTTCGATTAACCGGTCCAGACTATCGTCTTTGACCTGGATCTTCATACACCTGAGACGTTTCCGATTTCCCCACTGCAAAATGAAAGAAGATGACGACGCCGTTTGCTTGGCCGGATCCGAGCTGGATCTTAACAAGGCGCCGTCGACTCCTGCTCCTGCGGCTCTATCTCTGCTGTAGTTAGTGCTATTACCGATACCATTGTTATTATTGCTCCTTAATGAGTCCTCCATTCTTTCGTGCATGCCTGTCCCATCATGAAAGTGAAAATTGATAAATATAATTTTGGAAGAAAGTTTTTGATTCAATTTCAGAAATAAAGTGAAAGCGCCGATAAGGATAAGAAAAGGAAGAATTTGGATGTCACTTCCGTTAAAACGTTCACGCAATTTCAAGCAACAGTTGCCGCAGATGATCACCGGAATAGTTGCACCGGACGTCTAGGAATTTTCACAGAAAATTTTCACCAAAAAAATAACACTGATGAAAAGTTGAAGATTACTTTCAGGAAGTGCACTAAGAGGAAAATTTTAAAATGGAAGAAACAGAGTGAGCGATGATGTCTTTGGCCGTAGTTGTAATTTTCTCTTGGTTTCCCGGTTACCAAACGGCAAGTCATTTTGGCTACGCAGAAACGAGATGAAAATGAACAGAATCCAGGGAGCATGTCAGCAAAAGAAGAAAAAACCTTTCTCAGTGGAGATTTAAGCAAGCGAAAATAAAAAACCAAACAAAGATTTCAATAAAGAGGAAAAAAATCTTAGCGGAACAGATCAAATTCTTCTTAAAATAGTTTGAAACTATCCATCGACGGATTATGAAGAAACTTGTGATTCAAATTCTGAGAAAATGAAAGCAAAAAACAACACTTCCAAAGTGAAATTGAAATCTGAGAAAAAGGAATCCCAATGCTCTCCAAAGAGATGTAGCATTCTCGGGAAAAACATAAACTCTGTCAAACAAAACTCCGATTTTCAATCAAATCCAAGCTTGAGAAAACCAATTGGTAGAACACAGAGTTTTCTGGAAAAAAAAGAGGCTGAGAAGATGAAAACAATAACAAAAAGCTTGGCGTGTATCAATGGCGAGTCAATTTATCTTGAGGCGGATTTAGAATCGGTATTCAGATAGTCAAATTTCTGATCTTATCTCGTACCTGAAATCTCTCAGCCTTAAGCCGTTACGTTACAACTTTGCTTCAGTCTTATGGTTATGAACCACAAATTTACTTTGGATTTCAACAAAATAATGACATTTGCAGCCTATTCTCCGGGCTCTCTTGTGATACAAGATTCTAATCCTTTGAATATGTCAGCAATTGAGCTTCCAATCTGCAGATGAATTCAGTCCAAATTTCTCTAGAAAACAGCTCTGTAATCTTCCAAATGTATCTGCCAAACAAAAATCAAAAAAACTTATTTCTAGAGAAGAATCGAACATAGCGGTAGCTCCAAATCTCTTGAACTTCGTTCACAGGCTTCGTTTCTTACGGATTCTCAAAAACTTCAAACATAAAACAAAAGAAATCTTCACGATTTGTTTCCAGAACCAGCAAAAACTTTCCTCCAACCTCTTCGATTGTATCTGCAGAAAATAGGAGAGGAAAATAAAATTATCCATTGCAAATACACAACGGGAATTCATCACAACAAATTAAAATAGAAACACAATCTCTGCTCTCAAATCAAACACACCTAACAATTCCTCAAATTGTCGTCTCCGCCGTCTCTCTTTGTTTCGCTTGGTTTTAGATCCTCAACATTTATTTAGAAATCAACATCAGCTTTTAATTTTTTCTTTATTTTTTTTCCCTCAGGAATTTTCTGTTTGGTTCACGAGAAAGAAGAAGAAAAAAAGAAAGTAGAAGCAAATTAGCAAAAACAAAGAAGAAGAAGAAGAAATTAAACAAAGAAATCATAAAAACGAAATGCTCTCTCTCCCTTCCGAATACCCCAATCTTTATACCTCTTCCTCACCCTCCGTTATACCACCAAAGGCTTCATCACCGAGATATCCAAACCGTTCATCGTTAATCCAACGGTTCTTATCGAATACCCTAAATTTGAACCGTTAACTCCGTCTATCTTACGATTCTCGTTACGGCATTGTCTTGCGTCAAATTCTACAGAAAGTCCTCGTATATATAGTTTTCCAAATTCGATCCTATTATAGTAAGGGTGGAGTAAACTATAATTTTATTCAACTATGATCATTTTGATTATTAAACTTTTAAAAGTTATAAAATATTCATGAATTTTAATAAATTATTATAAAACTATCATTAAATTTTGTCAAATTGTTACAAAATATTTATTAAAATTATCAGATTTTTACAATCGTTATAATGTTGCAATGTTCATTTTATAAAAAATTGATATATTAGACAATTATTTAATAATTTTAAAAAAATTAGCACTAAATTTATTATTTAAGTATAATTTAATTACCTCTAATACACTTTACCTTTATTATAATTTAATAAAATGTTCAACTTTACAAAAAGAATTGTGCCATTTCATCAGAAGATTAAAACTATATGCCTAATTTTATAAAACAATTATTAATTTATCAAACAATTATAAAATTATCTTTAAATTTAATCAAATTGTTACAAGATATTTATTAAATTTATGATATTTTTATAATTATTATAATATTATAATAATTATTTTGTTTCAGTTTGATAAATTTAATAAGTATTTTATAATTTTAAAAAAAAATTAATTATAAAAAAATTACTTAAACATAATTCAATTACCTTTTATATATTTTACCTTTATTATAACCTAATCAATTTTACAAGAAAAAGCAATATATGTGTGTCGTTTCATCATGATATTAAAAGTATAAGACATATTATGTGATAAAGACAATATAAAAAAGGTTAATCTCAATACATTTTTAAAAAGAAAATGATTAGATCCATCAAAGATACATAGTATAAGGACCTTCTATGAAATTTGACCAATCCTTGTGCCTTTCTAGTCTTCAACTTTAACTCACGGCGTTAATAGATATAGCGGAATCTTCAAACAACGCATGAATAATTATTTTATTAATTTTCCTAATATTTTTTCCACAACCTTTTTTTGTGTGTTTTAACAAAAAAAAATCACATTCCTTAAAAAATTCACCTTATCATACACCTATTTCTAACTATTTGCTGATCTAACATCTTTTTTCAGGAGAGAGAATGAGGCAATGTGCACGGAATGCGCCTTTGGTGTGGGAGAGAAGGCACGTCGCATGAAACGTGCCTCCTACCTAAGGCGCGTCCTAGGAAACGCGCCTCCCTTGCTCGTCCTACGGCATACGCCTCCTTTGATTCGGCGGTTTTATGTTTATGGTTTTAGTTTAAAATGGTTTTAAGGTTTTGATTAGTGGTTTAGGTCATTTTCTTAGTGGTTTAGGTTATATTTGTATGGTTTAGGGTTTTTGAAGAAGTTTAAAATTAGTTGTATGTTATGATGTTTTTGTTTTTAGTTGTATGTTAGATTGTAAGAATTAAACATTTAATTGGAAAAAATACATAGATATAAAAAATAAAAAAGTTGAAATCACATTAATCAAAACTAAAAGGAAATGGAATAACATAAGATGATATGATTACATGAGTGGTGGTAAATGGTTACGTGATGATAAAATAGATGGAATTGTGGAATGAACTCTTTGCTAACATTGAATTCCTATCAAATATTTGAATGAAAATAAATGAGTGGAAAGAAATATGTTTCAAGAGAAGCTATCTCAAGTGAGATAAAATTTTGTTTCGAGTGAAATATTTCAAAATTTACGTTTCAATGGAAAATTGTCTCAAGCAAGATGAAACTTTGTTTCAAGAGAAACAATCTCAAAGGTTTATGTTTCAAGAGAAAATGTCTCAAGCAATATGAAACTTTGTTTCGTGAGAAACAATCTCAAAGGTTATCAATTTTGTTTTAAGTGAAACAATTTCCAAATTTTGTGTTTTGAGGGAAAATGTCTCAAGCGAGACGAATTTGTTTTGAAAGAAACAATCTCAAGTCAGATTAATTTTGTTTCAAGTAAAACAACTTTGAAATTTGTTCCGAGGAAATTATCTCAAGCGAAACGAAATTTGTTTTGAGGAAAAACAATCTCAAGTGAGGTCAACTTTGTTTCAAATGAAACAAATTCAAAATTTGCATCTCAAGGGAAAATGTCTCAAGCGAGACGAAATTTGTTTTGAGAGAAATAATCGAAAAGGCTTATGTTTCAAAAGAAAATGTCTCAAGCGAGACGAAATTTTGTTTGGAGAGAAACAATCTCAAATGTGATCAATTTTGTTTCAAAATTTTCAAAACTTGTGGAAAGCTGTCTCAAGTGAGACAAAAACAATCTCAAATGTCAGCAATTTTGTTTCAAGTGAAATAATTTCAAAAATTATGTTTCGAAGGAAAATTGTCTCAAACGAGACGAAATTTGTTTCGAGAGCAACAATCTCAATGATTTGTGTTTCAAGAGAACACATCTCAAGATAGATAAAATTTTATTTCATGAGAAAATTGTATCAAGTGAAACAAAATTTATTTCAAGCGAGATTGTCTCAAGCGAGACAAAATTTGTTTTAAGAGAATTTATATCAAGTGAGACAAAATTTGTTTTTAGATAAATTGTCTCAAGCGAGACAAAATTTGATTTTATATAAAACAATCTCATGTGAGATCAATTTAGTTTCAAGAAAAATTATCTCAAACGAGACGAAACTTTGTTTCAAGAGAAACAATCTTTAAGGTGACAGACAATTTGCTCCTGCATGTTGAGGAGATCTAACTGTATGTGGAAGATCTGATCTTTCACTTTAGGATGTCAGATATGTGGATGACATTGTTCCTTCATGTTGAGGACGTCTAGTCATCATCAAACTTTTATTTCCTGAAAGATCAAAATAATAAATGATACATTTATGAATGATTATCTTGAATGTTTTTATGGATGTCAAGATGAATTTTATTTCATGTATTTGGTTTGACTTTTATTTTGATAAAATTTACCCTTTGAAT